TACATCAAAACTTACTGGCAAATCTTCTTGTTCTATTGTTTTCTCGTCTATTAACTTTATAAAGTCAAGAGAATTCTTTATTGAAATTTTCCAAAAGCCTGAAATCAACTTTTATTGATCACAAAGGAATCGCGATGATTTATGCATCATACTACCCTTATTATTTACAATGATCCTGAGTGGAATCACTCTTTTGGGATTTGAGAAGACCATATGCATTAGGTCTAGCATCATGTTGGAAAATGCATTCATTTTCCATTTCCCCAATTCTCCACTATGAACACACTGTTGCAAGCAACTCATAAGTCTTGACTTCAATGTTTCTGTGGTGTCCTTAGTTATCATTCTATACGTATCAACATCAGCTAAAGCCAGCATCATCTTTTATATGTAATCGATCCTATCCATTACTACCATTGCTCCTTCTTTGTCTGCCCTCAAAACTATTTGCTCGTGTTGCCTAAGCTTCTTTGTGATATTATTAACACATCTATTCTTATCTTGTAGTTCTACATGGTTATCAATTAGAGGAAGAACCTATATGTTAATCTCACTTCTAGTTTATTCTGCTAATCTATCAGTAAAGTTAATAACTTCTAATAAAATCTCATCAGTGAAGCTCTTATTATTTAACAAAGCATAATTAAGACCTCTAGATAGAACTTCCTCAGTTGTATTGTCCACTGGTGTTTTGAACAGGTTAACCACTTTCCCACCTATCTTCATTTTCACTTCTCCTCTGGTTGAATTCCTATTGTTTTTTAAAGATCCAGTTCTAGTTTCTAGGTTCTTAAGTTTCCTATCGTGACTCTTCCTTACCAAACAAAATACTACATCATATACTTTGTCAGCCATTGATTGAAGTTTCAGGAAATCCTCAGAAGCTAAAGTATCAGACAAAACTTGCATTAGTCTGGTTTTTGTTCGGATCAAATTATGTAATCTAGTAATTTTGTGAAGGGATCTTTCTTAAACCAAATCATAATATACTTTTATAAGATCCAACTTATTCCTATTTGGCAAATTAGATCTATCTAGAACTAAAAACTTAAGGATGATACAACACGAAGAACATACTTTCAAAAATCTAATGTGATTAACTTGTCTGGCCATTAGTTTCTTGGTCTTTGTGTAAGCTGATGAGTTTCGAAAAGTTTGGTCACAATACCTACTTCTGAGATATAAAGGGAAGCTGGGTTTCGAAGAACGAAACGAAATGAAAGGTACGACAGTATCAATCTACTAAGGAATTTTTCAAAACCCAGCTTCTCTACATATCTCAATGGCTGAACAGGACACAAAATAGAGTGGTCTAAATCGCAACGTTTTGCCGGATATGGGGACTTCACAGCTAAGCGTAAGATTACGGAGTCGATTGAAATTAATATAACAAAGAACACCCTGAATAAGAGCAATGCATGTGGGAAACTAAGTAAGAACTTATATTGGAGTACCTTTCATTTCATTTGAAGAGGCGAGTGAAAGGGATTCTTAAGTTGGTTCCACCGGAGGCTGTGGAGAAGGTTGCCTTGGAGCTATGGTTGTATATTTGTGCGAAAAGGTCATCGGCGCACCACCCTGCGACCCCGATAAATCATTGCTGAGATTCCGTCCGTCATGTAAAGGACATCATCAGAGCAGGACACCATGCTTAACAATAATTCACCAAAAACACGAAGGCAAGAAAGGTGGCCGGCTTCAAACCTACTTCCCTCTTATATTCCAATTTGGTCCACTTAATATATAATGGGATTCTTCAAAGCCCAGCTTCTCTTCATAAATCCATTTTGTTGGCATTTTCATGTTGTGTGAACCAGTTTGTGAAGAAAGTCGTCCTGTCTCCAAGAAATTTTACAATTTTCCATTCCGCATCTTCCGGGCAACTTTACAGGGTAGTAAAGATATTGCTCTCGTAAATTTTTTCTATAACGTCCATTGGAGATCCTTCCCCAGAACCATTGGCTCTCTTATGATTAAACTTTTAACCTTTTCGATCCGTCAACATCAAGATTGGCAAAAACAAGTCGATGGACCAAAAAATTGTGAACACGAGGAAGAGAAATCCCTAAGAGGAGGCCACGAAGAAACAAGTAGAATGCAAGAGACGTCTACAGTAGGCCTAGTCAAAACAAGTAGAACCACAATATTTGGGGGTTGGCACACAAGAGAATCTGTTATAGGAAGTCATAGGCTTGGCATTATGGATAGAAGCATGATAGATGCGACGGAGGTTAGAGCTAGTTGGCTAGCAGTAGGCACGTTTGATCATAAACGTGATCCGTAAAGTAAAGGCTCGACCATAAGAATTACCCGGTGCACATGTATGAAGGTGATAGAAGGGTGATAAAGGAAACTATCACCTCAAGTTAGTCGCGCAACCAGCTAGAGAATCCAGACTATGGAGGCCTACTCAGTGAGGAGGGAGTATAGGTGTTATCTAAGGGCTGAGGCAGAGCATAGGAAATAATGTATCAAGTAGCACAGATAAGGTGGCAGTGGTCAAGTGAAATCCCTGAACCAGGGAGATAAGCGAAGGATCCCATGGGACAAGGAGATTCTGATATGATCTAGGTCAAGGGGGGTTGAGAACTAATAAGGCAGACTAAGATCAAAACTCCCAGCACAAGAGGGACAGCTCAAAAGGACACGCTACAGACAGGCTTAAAAAAGCAGGCAAGAAATTGTGAAAGTGAAGGGATTATACTGAGATAGGGTAGGTGAATAAATTAGGACAGGAGATATACTAAAACTCTTTAGCAGACAATTAGTAAGACTGACTTCGTTTGTCTCTTTAACGGGCTGCAGTGCAATGCTAATACTGGCAAGAATCAGTGACGATGCCAACTATGCCTGGGAGTGTGCCAAGTCCCCAGTCTGACTCTGGAAATTATCTTGCATAATATAGACTCCGGACAAGGTGCGTTCCTCTAGGCCGTCCTGTACATATTACCAAGTTGCGAAAACAAGTTCAAACAACTCAATGTCTATTCATTATTTGAATAAAAAAAGTGAAAAAGAGACCTATTATTGGGTCAGGCCGTTCGAACAAACTACAAACCAAGGCAACAAATTAATGGACATAGGTACAGAAAATGGTAAAAACAAATTGAGAGTTAACAAATTAGCAAAAGTTTAAGATATAGTATATTGCGGATAGGCTGAAAAGCCTTACCTAATTTTTCGTTCTGACCTAAGTTGTCCTGCCCCACCAAATCGACTTAGGACGTCAGGAGGGTTAGGTCGAATCAGAGGAGACGGGTTGAAATCAGCATATTGACCCTGTTGACCAGTAGGATCAATTGGAAGACTTGATAAAACAGTGAGACCGCTACCACCACAGTTGGTACAAGCATGTAAGTTGACATTTGACCCATTAGTGTGAAAGAATTGTTTAGATTTTCCAGTCAGGGCATCAAAGTTCTTATGAGGGGTCGGTTCAAAAGTGGGAGTCAATTCGGGGCGAGAGGCAGACCTCCGCCTGTCCAAAGAGCCGTAAAGCAGGCGTGACTGTTCTTGCTTCGTCTGATGAAGAGATCTAGATACATGCCGGTAAGTATGAGATTGGGGAGAAGCATCAGCCAACGATAACAAGGAACCAGGTGCTCCGGGGCAAGAAGCAAGTGAATTAACCATAGATATGCTATTCATAAGTCTGGAACTCTCTTCAGACTCATCCTTCTCCCTACCGTCCAGATATCCGAGAGAACGACGAGTATGGCTGCGTCGTTTAACAGGCTTAAGTTGATTCGTTTGGGTTGAGGGTGAATATCTCAGAAGGCGCTCAGAAAGTCCATCTAAGGGCTGAGTACGATGGCGTAAGATGGATTTGGGCAGAGTAGCCGAAGAAGGTGGATGAGAGCTGGCTAATGGCTCACGCTGAGGATGGAAAACCTCCCCATTCCAGTATAGCATATCGTCTGCATAGTACCCCTCATCGGCTTGTCCATTAAGTGCTTGGTTGATGCGAGGATAAGCTCGAACATTAGGTGCCAATGATTTGGATGCGGGTAAAACCTTGGGTAATCCAGAGGCGTCTTCGAAGAGGTGTGGATCCCTGACTTGAGAAAAGTCTAAGAAAAATGAAGTAAAAAATGAAATCGAAGGTATGAAGACAAGGATAGTGTGGTTTTTTGTATGGTCGCGGCCTCCTTTCGTTTTATATAAGTTGTTTGACCTGGTTTAGCAACTTGGTCATATTAGAAGGAAGACCTAGAGAAACGCACATTGTCAGGAAACCATAGTATGCATGGTCAGTTTCAGAGTATGACCGTAGATGTGGTACATTCCCAGACGTTTCGCCGGCATCGTAGTCGGTATCGTCAGTGAGCCTCGCCATTCTTAGCACCACACTACAACTCGACTTGTCTCTTTGAAGAGCTGTAGTGTGGTGCTAAGAATGGCAAGGCTCACTGACGATGGCGGCAAAACGTCTGGGAATGTACCAATTCCACGGTACGACTCTGGAAATTATCATGCATACAATGGACTCTAGACTAGGTGTGTTCCTCTAGATCTTCCTTCGAAACCAAGGTCAAATAACTAATAGAAAAATTAAATTACATTGTACCCTTCCTAGAGTTCACCAAAATAATGTATTATATTCAACCAAAATATAAGATAAGAAGGGGTTGGAAATTTTGACACTGCCGTAAAGTAAAAAAAATTACGAAGGCAATATAAAAATCAGCTGGAGAAAGTTGCACACGAATTCACGCCAAATAACAATTCTAAAAGTTAGATCCGATGTCAGACGTTAAAAATGTAGGTGAGGATATAAAAGCTTGGGAGCAGGTGACAAAGACCACGAAAAATTAAATGAAAGGCAGATATTATAAAAATTAATCAGAAGAGATATTTAAAAATTATTTACTAACAAGTCTTAAAAGTAAAAAGGCATGTTAAAGCACACCTATAAATCAAGAGAGAAGTTAAAGCTAATGAAGTGAATTTCAGCCTATTTAAATTAAAAGTGATTTGTTGATAAAATCATTTAGTATTTATTTCCTCCCGGGGAATTGCAGTAAACTATAATATGTAGTGCCCATGTAGAATAGCATGAGCAGGTATGTGTATGAGTGTAGACACTTGACACGCCATTAAAGGATTACATTCGAAGGTATATCGCCGTCGCAATGCTTTAAGGGACACGGCTTTACTCAAAAGAATTATATTCAGTGTGTAATGATGGGTGTGTAAGCAGATAAATTTGGATAAGGATAACAAATAAATGGGATTTATGTTGAGTTTGTGGGTAATAGGACAGCGTTCCATAAGTGAGAAAAAAATATTTCTTTAGGTTATGTTGTAGTCAAAAGTGAGTTATTTAGTTAGATGGCGACTTTCTACTCAGCAGACAAAGCAATAAGAGCGAAAGATGGGATTAAGGGACAGAACAATTAGAAAAAGTAAATCCAAAGATGAAGTTACGAATGAATTTTTTATCATTAGGTATTATTCTATGCATTTTATTTTACTATAAAGATATTGTGCTCATTAAATGGAAGCTTAAAAACCAGAATTGGCACGATTCTGCACAATAAATACATTTACAGTAAAGTCGGATTCATCGGCAATGATACGTCTGAATAAAAGAGGTTGTGTTAAGAAGTTGAAATGGGATTAGTTTAAATTTATATGAAATTTTATCTTTTTGCATAATATATTTAATATGATATGTGGTTATACAAGGAAATAAAAAATACTTTTAAAAAATCGGCTATACCTGGGGGATTCAGGGTATAGAAGGTACCATTTACAAAAGGTGTATCTACTAGGCAGCGTCTACGTTCATCCATACACGGGACACGAGGAGGACCAGAAGTAGGATGTTGAGAGCTACATGCTGATGTTTTGAGGAAGGTACCAAACGTAGTGCTTGAGGGCAAAATACTGTTAAATGGGTGCGAAAGATGTGACAAGCAGCAAATACATGTAAATTTTTGTTTGGTGAATATATATGTAATTTTTATATTGTACTTAGACAAAAAAACAGTGCTATTCAAATAACTAGGACGATGATGAACAGAAAAAATATAATTCATAAAAAAGAAGCAAAAATTATAAGGCATAATGGCTGAATTGAAGTGGTTAGATCTCGTTTTCGTAGCTTAGCCTTATTGTAAGAAAGATATGGATGAACGCATCTTATCTGGAGGCCATAGTATCCAAGAGAATTTCCGAAATCGAATCGTGAATTTGGTACATTCCCAGAAGTTTTGCCTGCACAGTAATCGGCATCATCAGTGATCTGTCATTCTTAGTACTACACTACAACTTGATCATTTAACCAACTGTCTGCATCTCTCCTGTCCTGATGCATTCACCTATAAATTCCCAATTTTTTACTTGCGTATCCGACGAAACGTCTGAGAATGTACCAAACCCACGATCCGAAACTGGATATTATCATGGATACTATGGGCTCCAGACAAGGTGTGCTAATCGAGGTTCCCCTGACGATACGACTAAGCCACATCTATACAACGAAAGCAGATCGAGACTATACTAAATTCCACACCATCTCGGTCTTTGCACATTTGAGTAATGGCTGAAAAATGGCAAAATATTAATCGAATTAAGGATTAAAACCGATTTAGACCCTTTGTCAGAAAGAAAGAATTGCAGGCTAAGTCCAGCAAACAAAAGTAATCAATAATGTGAAAAAATAATTTGTTACCTATTCTTGGAATTAACTTGCTCTTGAAGCGTTCCTTCAAGTGCATGTATTCGATTAAGCTGATCAGCATAATGTGTAGTTGATTCGATACAAGGTGTAAGATTGTCTGCTGCTAATCGATTTATCAAAGAATTTTCTACTTGGGTCTTTATCCTTCCTTTTCTATGAGGCGAAATCCTGTCGGATTTGATTAAAATGGATTCATGAGCGGATGTCTGGTTATATTTGCTAGAGTCATGCGGGCCCAAACTAGCATGATGTATAGCTTCGCTAGGAGAAGAAAAAGCGTGATTCGGATAAACATGATTGCCAAAATCGTTCACGTGAGAGCGGTGCTTGATCAACGGTACAGGGCATGGAGACGAGGATGGAGAAGAATAAGCTGGCAATTTGGAAGAAGACAAAATTGGCAGATGAGGAGAACATTGAATGCCTCGCTGCCTTCCTGTCCCATCAGGAACGGCCTGTGAACAGCTATAAGAGGCAGAGTCATCGCACTGCTGAGAAGTCTGATTTTGCTGTCTGGCACGATTATGTGGGTAAAAGTCAAAGGGTCTGTACGATGTCGAAACAGGTGGGACAGGAGCCAAGGGTGATGCTTGAGTCTCACCTCGAGGACATGATAAATAGCCAATACCGTCAAGATCCGCTTTGACAAGTTGGTCGCGCAAACGTCGTACTTCATTTTCAAGGCTATTTTGTAAACTGCAAAAATGATAAGCATTTAAATAAGAATCGGAACAATCATTAATCGGTATAATTATTTATTTAGGCCAGTTCTATTAATTAAAAATATACTTGAGTATGATTAGAGAATATAGATAAATAATCTAAAAAATAGTGTCATATGAGCAAAATAAGTCAATATTATACGTAATAGGGCTTGCAAGCATCCTTTGGGTCAAGTTCTAGTATGCATCATTCATGAATGCTTCTTCAATTATTAATTATGTAGTGACGAATTACATGTTAAAGTTATACTATAATAGTTCCAGTCAGTCTAGGTCGCATAAAGTGAAAGACTGATACTCAAATTTTTCCACGAGGATATGAATACACCTCATAGTTACATGACATTTCCCCTAACATTGCTTCCGAAAAGATATTCTTATCCAGAGATAGATGCACTTTCGACTTCGTCTGGGCCCCATCAGCCTCTCCAATGGGAATCGAACCTAAGTAGTGTAGCGAATAATTTCGAAATGTCACCATTACGGCAAATTTCCACCTAAGGTGACTAAAACCGTCATTCAAGAGTATATAAAAATAATCTACATTCTCTAACTATAAATTGAACCTATACAAAGCATAATATAACTAATAGGCTTGACTAGAACTATGAAAGGTAACAAAGACAGAAGAAGATACTAGATAGGAATATAAGGCATTGAAGACTTCCGGTTGATTTGATAGATGTTAAATTCATAACAAATATCCTCTTTAAACTAATGACGTCAACCGAAAATGCTATTTACCCAGCAAGCCTTTGATTTTCCTCTTTATTAGTTCTAGTTACAGAACGATTTCGGATAATACTCCTATGCGTAGACGAGGGCGCATGGGAAGAGGAAGTAGAAGCTGAAGAAGCAGTTGAGGGCGGCGATGGCGAGATTGAACCCGAGGAGCAAGGAGAAAAGATAACTCTTTCTGGCAAATTGGAGGTCGGAGAGCGAGAGACGCCAAAGTGGCCGGGGAAGGATGCAGTCTTTGGACAGTGCTGAGAATGAAGCATAAAAAATGAATACAAATTATGTTCATTTATACTTACATGAGTGTGAGGGAAAGGCCGAAAACTAAAATGGAAATCTGAGGGTCAAAAATTAAATACAGGATAGCCTTTGGTTGTTCACTAAACGAATATTAACTTTTTAAATAAAAACAACAATTTTTACCAGGAAATATTAGTGTCCATTATAATGAGAACACGGAATAATCTTATAACACAGTTAGTAGGTTCACCTCAACCCCACAAACAGATAATCAGCCACGACTAAGATACATGCAGATATCGCCTGACAATATACATATAGATAAAATCTAAATTATGTAATATGTCATAGTATTCAAGAGATGCATGAAACGATGTCGAAATTAAATTTTTATAGATGAGTAGGCTTTTGAGACTACCAGTAAATCAGATATATGAGTTGTGTTCACCCTATTTCGCTTAAGGTGATGAATGGCTGGCATTTGCTTTTTCCCGCAATGATATGAATATCACATAGCCTTGTCTTCCCAGAAGGTGTTCTAATCCAGGTTGTACTGCAATTTCGACCTCGCATAGGTATTATCAACACTCCAAGCGGGATTCAAACCATGACTGTGCAGTGTGTAAGCTCGATACCTCAACCATTACGGCATATTGCTACGAGTGCTCTTGGGCTACAGGGCAGATATGCATTTTAAGGAATGTCAGGCATTTTCCATGTCACATTCTGTGTTGGGATTGTCGATGAAGCAATATTATATTTGCCATATAAATCAACGACACTACTTG